TCTCCTTGTCCCAGTCAGGCTAACATGTCCGTGCCACTGTGCCGTGAGGGGCGGGGGGACCATTGCTGCACCCAGGCAAGTGGCATATGGGCCAGGGTAGAAGCCACATTGTAGTTAAAGACCCTCTCTTGCTTCTCAGATCACCCTCAGCAGCGAGATATCTTCCAGGACGAACTCAGCCTGTGGAAAATGTTGGGACAGAGTTCAGTATAGGGGCCCCCTGCAGCTCTTGACTCTCCCCAAGGCACAGAATCCCAGGGGACAGTACAGCCATGAAACAATCAGTCCCCCTTGACCCTGTGGTTACTCACCATTTTGGGGCTCTTGTGGGTTATGTGCACTCACCTTGGGACAGGCAGTTTGTGCTATTGTGGGAACTTTGCTTGTCTTTAAGATCGACCAAATCATTGCTCTGTCTAATGTTAACAATTCTGCCTCTGTTAAATGTTGCATTTTGGCTTTACAGACGCAACCTTGAGATCCCATTCGTTGTTGTTCTCAACGGCCGAACGGCTGTGCAGACTCAGGAAGCGTCTGCGAAGAAGCAAGAAGTACCTTCTGCATGAAGTTATGCAGCAGTCCCTTGCTGAAAATCAAAAAGTGTGGGAGTGGTGGGAGAGTGAAAGGAGGGTCTGCAAGGAGAAGGTGGATCGCTGGAAAGAAACCGCGGAGAAGTCCTAAGCATTACGGAGCGCCAAGTGGACTCGATGCAGGCGCTCTTAACACTGCATATGGAGCAGATCCACACCCCCGCCCCATGCAGCTCTCATCCCAAAACTCTTTCGCTTGCACCCCTATGTCACCACGAACACAGTTTGCCCAACATCCTGTTTCTTGTCACCACCGGCTGCCTCCAACACCTGAACCTTCACCATCCAGCCCTGCAAACTCCAACCATTACCCACTGCACTCAACCCCCATCCCCGTCACCGTGTGTTAGCCAAATGGGCTCGTTTCCCCCCTGGAGCTGCCCAATTACCCCAAGGAGGCACGGGAGTCTAGAAGGCGGCTTCAAGTTCTTTATTGATCAGTCAGCTGAGCG